GGTGTCACTTCCTTTCATCGTCTCCACTCCAAACCCACTAGAACTGGCGGAAACACGGTGGCAGATTATGATTTGAAATCTAATAATGACTACCGTTGACTTATGAACTGATATCTGTTTATTTTAAAGACCTTTCCCTCAATTGCTGAAATTTTAAAAAAAATAAATCAATTATGTTATTAATTATGAAGAAGGGAACGTTTAACTTACTTTTACCTAATTGCTTTCAATTCCGTTCCATTTATTTTAAAACAAGGTCTGTGGTAGTGCATGAGCACCAATAAATGGATGTGGCATTATAAGATTAACAAAAAACCACTAAAATAAGGGAGAATGACTGACTGTTTAAGATAACAGGGTTTTTGTTTTCACAATGACTGCAAAGTCGGTTAAGTTGCTAAAACATGGCCCGAAGAAAAGACTAGATCAAACCATTATTTAAAAGAATATTTTAAATGTTTGGCTTAAATGAGGTTATTATATTTAGGAACAATCGATCAATTGCGAACACTATTTAAAGAACCAAATTTACTGGTTGTTATCTTAAAAAGTTCTCAGAAATTGGTTTGCCATGCACTAGTGAGATTACGAAGGTGAAATCGGGCTTTAAGCCTAGGCATTTAATTAAACTTATGGCCTGAAAGTGCATTATGCGCATACATACTTTGTACTTGTTCAAAACCGTGGTTCATATGTCCTTTGTAACCCATATAAATCAATGATTGATAATGAAAGCAAACAGATTTTAGTTTTGCAGCATTTCCGAACCCTGGATGGGTATGAAGCATAGCAAGCCATTAAGATTTGGGCATAAGCAGGTTGTCATGATGGTGACATGTTTGTTAATAAAGTAAACATTTTCCACACGATGAATGGCCAAGGCCGTCTTCTATGCTAATGAATTTCAAGAGGATGCACCTAACCGTACACCCTAGAGACCCTTTAAGATGTGAGGTTAATCTCATCACACTAGAGCCCACAAAACAGACTTGATCTCAAACTTTTCTACCTTAATTTTGTAAAAATTAACATTGGCATCTATCAAAATATGTAAAGTTAAGAAAAAAATGAATACGAATTAGACGAAAGCACCCATTCATTGAGGAATTTTAAAAATATTTTTAACTTCGCATTAAATAGGACACGTTTTAGAAGTCGGGGTAAGTCACTCTTGCTTGTTAATCCATCTCATTTGGCGTTTAGCGCAAAAGCGAGCTTCATTTATGCCTGCGAAAACATGAATTTGGAGGGATTTGAGTTTATTTACATAACAAAGGCATTAAAACATATTTATCGCCTGCAAAATTATCAAGACAACAAGTTTTTCAGGCTTTGCGCAATACAATGCAAAAATTTAATACCACTTTGGCTTGATGCGGTCAATTTTAGTCTCGTCGAGCGAAATGACTTAGCTAGGGTCAAAGTGTTTTATCAGATAATGAGTGTTAAATTTTAATCTAAAATGCATCACAATGTAATCGGTAAGAAAGAAAAGCAACCAAATTAATTGTTATATTAACACCGCAATTTTCAACTGGATGATCGATTTGTGGGAATATCCAAGGTTGTAGCTGGCTGTGGACACATTTAGGCAGGAATGTCGGTTATGAAAATATAAGGCAATGGGAAGATGTTAAATGACGTTTGGAGGCAGGATATGCTGCATTGACAAATTTCTTGCGAAATTTGGAACGGTAGATATGACAATTAAGGCAATATGCAAGTTTTTGAAGAAGAGTCATAAATCAGCAAAAAACGCAAGTAAATGCATCGAACTAGTCAGAAGTAGGGAATCCTCGGTAGGACTGTGTGTTATTTATAGGCTCACCGGCGCATGTATTTAATTCAAGCCAAACACTCTTGTTTCTTTACTTTGAGGGTAACATTACTATTACCTAACACAAATAAAATTTTTCAAATTTATGTCATGATACCGCAAACTTCCGGTTACATGTACTATAAAATTAAGCACCTGATTTCGATGCGAATGCCAAAAATGCAGATTACGGGAGCGTTTTAGTTGAGCAAAACCTAAAGCGGAAATTGTTAACTAGCAGTTGTTTCACTCACAACAGGCGTCTAGCCATTGGAGATTGCAAGTTTGTAAAAAAACTCTGTCATATTAATAAAGTGCATTTAGATACACTCAAGTGGTAATTGCCCATTACTTGCTGCCTTGCCAGTGGAATGAAATGAATCCCTACATCGATCCATTTTGCAGCGCCAAGCACTCAACTGATCCGTCAAGAATAGGCACTAATCTGAGATTTTTGACAATTTTTTTAGAATGTTTGCCGGAAGGCACTTTAAAAAGAAAGAAAAGTGATAGTCCTTCGGTAATGGGGATGAAACACTGTAGTAATCTGCACAATATCCAGATTGCCAATAAACTAACTATTTTTCCCAAAGACTAAGCATGGATATATGTTTATTTCGTCACAAAACTTACAATTTCAGATTATTTTCGTATCTGGAAAAATATGGTCTAAGCCCCTGACCTATGGTGCAGTCTCCTGCTGCCGCCAGCATCTTTTGTTCTATCCATTAATGCCCTGTCCATTATCAATAATAAGCAACTGCTTTCCGACATATTGCACATAAGTGTTTCCAAAAGTAAAAACCGTCTGCGTGGAACGGCAAACATTTGTTCTATCACTGATCCTATCCACTGGGAATATTTTAAACTATTATAATTATTCACATTTAACCTCTTTAAGCCATTAAGTAAAACTTTTTGCAATTCTACAGTTTTCAACTTCAATATCTTAGATCAGTTTGGGTAAATAGGATAGATTTTTTAAAACAGAAAAACAGTTCGTTGCTGCTTTACTTTTGTGCACCCACCTGAATTTGAACCAACGATTCTTCAATTGCGTCCAATCTAATTTGCAGTCGAGTGTGTTGAATTCTCATTTCAGAGACTGTATCATTGATGGTGGATTGAGTCTGAAATCAGAAAGGTTTAGTAAGAAACTGTATTGTTGAAATCGTTAGTTTGATAAATTTAAAACATCATTGAAAGATAGCTAGTTGGTAGCGCGAGATGAAGCGGAAACTTGTTAAATTCTAGACATGAGACATAAAGTACACCTCACGCCACTTTATTGCATGCACCAATAGTGCATGTTAAAAATTAACGACATAGAAAGAAAATTACTGCATTGTTTACCCTAGAATAATCGCTATAAAATCAAATCATAAAATTTAAATCAAATTGTTGAAAAATCCACACCAGCTGGTCCTTTTCATTCTGCTTTCAGAAAACTCAATTAGTTTTGAGTGACTTAAAAGAAAAAGAGCAGATCAGCTCACAATTCCAGATATCAAAAAAGGTTAATAACAGTTGGTGGGTTAGTTATTTGAATTGAAAGATGCAGGGGAGAATACCTATACATTTGTATTCCTTATTGTTTGGATTAAAAGTTACATGTTAATGAAGACACTTGTCTATCCATCATTTTAGACAAAATTACAGGATTTTACTTCATTAGAGCAATGGTGTTTTTCACTAATTTCATCCCGCTAAACGAATCCGTTAGCAGTGGTATTTAATAAGCGCACATCACTTAGTGTTTAAAAACACATCACCTAAATGACCATGACAATTTGACACCGCCTTGTTCGGTGTTTTTCGAATAAGATGTGCATAAAAGTTGGAACGACCTCAAGAATTCACGACTTGGAAGTTTTTAATTTTTGGAATTGCCACAACTATCTTCGTATTTAATGTCATGTTTTCAAACAATGGAAGAGATGCTACGTTATAGTTTGCCAGACATTCATTTCAAAAAACCTAGGTGGTCTCAAGAGACTGCCGAATAAACCATGCCTCGAACACGGCAACTAAATAGGCTTTTGCTAGACAAAAAGTCTCGTGGAGTGTTGAAAGTTTACGAGGTTAAAGTAGCAATATTAAGTAGATGCGGTGGCATCAGAATAAAACCTGTTTTGCTCCGTTCAAAAGGCTTAAAAACAAGCACGATCAACCCAAAAGTTCAAACATTCTCCACGGATGCCTCTGCCTTCTACTAGTTAATGTCTAGGCGTAATTTTTAAATAGCTCTGCAGCTTTATGAACAGGTGTGGTTTACGCTAACCTACTACCAAAGAAATGAAAATAAAGAAAAACATGCAAAACCTATGCCAGACTTCGTGTAGACAATAGAGTGCAGTTTCCCAGAACAACGAATGCAATTTTAAGCCCTTATCAATTTCCGATAAGTTATCTCGGGGAAATTTAAGGTCTCTTTTTAAATTCTCATTGTAAAAGATAAGCTCTTTCTACCCGGTTTTGTTTTTTTGTAACCTCATATTTTAAGACGTAGGAAGTACTTGCAAATGACATAAGAAATTGTCGTAAGATTTGGTCTCTAGGGCCTCGGGAGAATTTTCAGTAAGAAGTTTACGAGATAATGGGAAGTAACCAACACGATATTTCAGTAGCAATGGAGAGCTATTCGATCGTTTAGTGCTTAAGTAATATTCAGAACTAGGGCTGCCTGGCTATCAGTCCGTTCTGGTAAAATGTTTAAATTAAACCTGACTGTCGTACTTTAGCCAAGTCAATCAGAGAGTTGGCATTGTCCTGCAACTTCCTCTGTTCTAATTTCACCTGTCGAAGTCTGAAAATGAAAAAATATGATGGCTATTAGAAAGGGAATTATGTTATTTTATTGAAATCCATTGTACCAAGTGCAAATTGCCACATTAAAAAAAGTCCTACCAACTTACAGGAGGGATTTATTGCTCGCCAAGACTTCCATAGGACCACTTCTCTGTGTGTTACTTCTTTCTTTGGGTTTTTGGTGTTCTTGTTGTAGGCGGACTGCTTACAGCCTAACTTGCACGCTAAGCAATGTTCAGTGCAACTTTTTTCCAAATTGTACCTGTTCATTTCTGTTTGCTTTGAACTATTTGCCATTCATAGAACTTCAACACGAAATATTTAAAGGTTGCGCTGAACTCCAAACGCATTTACTGATTTAATGTGTTTTTTTTAAAAGTAATTCCGTAATAACCACCAGAAATCCACTATATTTGACCAAGGAGAATTTCAGACAAAACTAACGTTCCTTTGTTGTTTTTAGATCTGTCCAAATGATTAAACTTGTCACATAATGAAACATTGAAATCGTGCAGCAATGAATAATCTAAAGTTTTAAATGTATCAACCCATCAGTCATAAGTGCAAGTCTCGTTTACGACCTCCACTCCAGCTATTTTTGTTTTTGACAAATTGGAAAAAATTGGCCAGAACGCAGTTTTTTACGTGGCCGGGAAGAGTGTTTAATGGCTAATTAAAAACACACAGAACGTGGTTCTTTCTTGCTTGATAAAGGAACATTTTTATTAGTTTCGAATTCCAGGATTACTGTTGATGTCTTATTCTTTCTAGGTTTAAGTTTTCGGTCGTAAAACAGATCTGTAGTATACACATAAGATTTTGTTTTAAGAATTACTCTGAGTATCACATCATGCTCACCCATGAATGGCTCGAAGGAATTTCCGCTGGTGCTTCCTAATTGTCGAGGCGTTAAGTTTTTTCACCAGCTTGGTGTGCTTGTAAATTAGCCAAGTCTCTCGTAGAACGTTTGCCGCATAATATTTCATCTGAATATAGAATGGGCCATTTAGATTCGTGGCATAACCACTAAAAAGCTATTAGTTATGGAAAAATTGTATTTCTCGTGTAATTGAAAAAAGGAGCGGTAAGAACAGAATTTTTTTCACTATTACAGGTAAAGGTAATCTAAGTCGATTCCACAGAGTTGCAGAGTAAACGTATTTCGTTTAAAGAAGAATAGAAATTTTAATTTCTATGCGAAATGTAACCGCAACTTTAAAAGTCCCATGTTAGTAGTTGCAGCGATTTTAAACACTTAATAGCTGGTCACATAGGGTTTAACAAGAATCGTTTAACTATAATTCGGGTTGAGGTGCTAATCCGATCACTCCAGCCTCCGACACAGGGTTTCCCTTTTCGCAGCATGTCGCCAGCCTCCCAAATCCTCAACTTCCCCCTTCATAGCGCGAAAGCTTATCCTAGATTATCCTCACCCTTAGGTCTCGATATTAGCGCATGTATGACTCACACATTTGAGGTATAAATACACACGCGCATACGCCACACGTGACATAACGACACCAACGTGTTTGAGCTCGGAGGCAAACGGTTGTGTCCACGTCCTCTCCCGTCTTTTTCTTCATCATGGATATCAGAGTAGCATAAGCTACTCAGAGTTAATTCAGTAGCTCCAGGGTAGTTCAAGACCACATGCTGACTTTGGGTCTTAACACTAGTGAATCTGATTGTTGAATTTTTCACACAGCTTATTTAAAGCAAAGATACGCAGGCGTGGTGGTCATACGCTAAACAATTAAAAATCGCCTTTATGAACCATAGTCGGCATCAAGGCCATGAATTTTTGCAGAAAGCATGTGCTTCTTAATGAATTCACTTTACTTTCACGTGGTTTACAGCAAAAAATACCATCATAACGTAAAGGTGTACAATACAACAACCAACATGCCTGCTTAGTAAGCTCGTTTTCCATCATGAAGTGAATGACATGCTTCTCCGCCTTAGACAGTTCAAGTCGCCTTGCAAACACAGCCACCACGAGCGCGGTACAGAGTGAGCCCTGTACACCGGCAAAAAGTGTATTTTAAGTAAGCAGGATTTTAAAGAGCAAAACAATTACTGAGAAGGACTCTTTGGGTTGCCATGGCTTCTCCCACTGGCTTAGACCTGAAGCTTAGGCCTTTCACTGACCATTGCCTCAATAGCTATCCCCCTTCACTTAGGGAAATGCGCAAGAACAAAGCTCCAAGTTGGAGACCACTGCACTCGGAAACATGCTAAAATCTCAAGTAGGTAACTACCAGAAAATGCTACTTCAAATTCTGCCTTCCGAGTGATTAAACTTGACTGTCTAAAAATAGCAGCAAATTGCACATTTGCAGAGCAACCCAGGATGGATAATTTTTTTCCATACTTAAACACACAGACATAAACTAATCATGTTCTGAAAGTGACGTCAGTAATGGCAGCCTTGATGAGTCAGCATTTGTTTTGTGAAAGCCTTCTTACAAAAGTCTAAAGTCCTTGGCTTATAGGGGTAAATCACCCTAAATGCCATTTCTTAATAATTTTCTGCATAGCTCAACACAAAACTTGACATACAAAAGGAAAACTACTGGACGTGTTGCGTAAAACATCCACGGTTTTGGAATATCATGTGGGAGATCTGGTCACAGTTACTTGCAGTGTCGAATAGGTCACGTCGACATTTTTGGGAAGGTGATTTGTACTCCCATGCGAGAATTTTAATTATGGAAACACATCGGTGGGCATTCGAGCACAGGATAAGGCTAGCAAGGATTATAAAAACTCTGTCCAGTTCAAAAAATTCCTGAAAAATCATTTTTTTCCGAATACTTTCTTCACTTTTATAGGCGTTGACATATGGGTGCAATATGCTTCTTTTATTGTTACTATGCTTGCAACAAATCCACCAAATGAAACATAAGATGATCAAAGGAGCTAACACGAAAGCATTTCACATGTTAATTCCTGGCCGAACAAAAGCCCTTCGGGGAGATATCATTAATTAGTAATATTGAAATTTTTCAATATATCTCACGACACATCTGCCTACCTTGGCTTTGCTTTTCAAGTTTAAACAGGAGTTAACTAAGGAGAAGATTATTAACTTGGCGGCTTTTCTAACATCTTTTCGTAAACACATTGGTGAGGAGCCCAGTTGTGATGGCCACCGTTCAAAAGTGTTTCAGCTGCATCCTTTTAATTTTCGTCCAAAGTATTGTCTAGGCAATGTGCTGATTTACTGGACAGGAAATCTATTGCTAACATGCGAGTGTATCTTTGAAAAAAAACTTTCCTCGTTTTTTGCATCGCACGCCTTACCACTCCTGAATTCCTTATAATTAAATGGCGCCACTCTTGTCTTCTGACAGTTTTTCCTTACTTGAAACGAACAAAAGCACTTTGTCAAAACAACAAACGATAACCTCCGATTGGAAGGACTTACCAAAACTCCCGTGACTATGGATATAGCACGACCGCAGTAAGTGTTCGCGACAACATCTCCATAGCCAATACTTAGGAATGTCACAGCTACTAGCCACATGGAATTGAAAATATCTTCGAACACGGGGTCGTGGACGCTATAGAAAACATGAAACATAGGGTTATTTGGTCTGAATAAACGATATGCAATTTACTTTATGTAGTATTATCATTCGCTTTGGCAAATCGAATAACTGAAGGCAGAGTACTGCTAGTTTTAACATCAGGAATATAATCAATTCAACAACAGTAAGCCTTATGTAATTTTATGTGACAAACCTATGTAAGGGCAAATTGTTAGGTCGCATCAAGCGAGTCAACTGGTCAACTCAAAGCGTCTACAGTTCTTAATTTTAATTAGCAGTCTTTTCATCAAGCAACACCAACCTTAAGGTAAAAGAGAGCTTTTAAAAACGTAAAGTCTCTTTACTATTATGACAAAATCTACAAAAGGCATTTTTAAGGGTGGTTGGTGTAGCTATTTGATTAAAATTTTTGAGAAGCAAAATTTTCCAAAACTCGCTCAATTAAGATAATCACTGCCTCAAATGTATGTTCGCTTTTGTTTGTTTTTCAAATTTTGACACAATACCCTGTGACCATGTGCTAAATAGAGCCCGACTTTTTTACTTTCAAAGTTTGCAAATCCCACATTATTCGTAATTACTAATTATCATATAAGATGTTATTAAAATTAGGCTTAAATATTGCGGAACGGAGTAGTCGCGAGATGGATAAAGCCATAAAAACTGGGTCATTGGGTAGCGCAGCTCAGTTAATAGCATGTGGTAATCAGCGTCTCCAGTTACAACAAATGTGCATTTTCCCTTCATTGTAAATTGCTTCGGTGACTAGCTTTACAAATTCACGACTTTGGAGCGCAGGAGGGTTTGTAAACTTTCCGAAATGTAATAGATTTAAGCTTGCCTTAAAATTTTGTCATTGTGCCTTCGTAACAGTAGATTACGTACACTTAAAAAAGCGAAATTTTTAAACGTACACGAAGGAATTAAGTCACGGTTTTTATTGCGCCATACATAAGAACCAGAATAAAATAGAGTTTTAACACTGTTTCTGAGTACACGGGCTTTACTCGGTATGCTTTTAATGTTTTATAAAGGCCATTCCTGAGCTAAGTAGATATTGGCCTTTAGTCCATTGAACAAATCTGTATTTTATTTCAACACAGTACACATGAGGCATATTAATTTTGTCACCTGAATTTAATTTAAATCATTTAAAACCAAAGTAATGGGTCAACAACCCGCGTACTTAAATTTAAATAAGCCCAAATATGCAGTGATAATTGTGCTACAAGAACAAAGAACAGGGACAAAAGAATCCAACTTGGGCCAAATCTGATAATTTTTAACATAAACCTTATAACAAAAACATGACAAAAATTATCTGCTGAAATTCACGTGGTAGCAGTTATTTACAACAAAAGCCAAGTTTACAGAAAAATATGATAGGTACAACTTTCTCCTGGATCTTAGTACTTCTTTCAGGAAATTATATACACAAAAGTGGTAGCGATATCAGTCGTCTATTCGGACTTATCACCACAGGCGTTAAAACTAAGGCTTGACGTTGTAATGCACACAAAACTGAAGGAAAAACATGTGAAGTAGCTTTACCATTTGCTCCACATTTGGGCAAATAGACAATTTAGCTTTCATTACCAAACAAGATCTAATTGCAGTTTAAAGTGATTTAATCGTGGCCTTCTTCGAAACCTGCAGGACACTTCCAATTACGTTTACATCCAAGTTATTCGTGGTGTCCACAGGAACAGAGCCCTGACATTCGTAATTCTAAAGCCATCTTACATTAGTTTATTATTACATCTCAGCCGTTTGTGTCCATATATGCAAATGTTTAAGATACCCGTTCATAAATGGCATATTAGCCAAAATATTCGAGGCCGCCTAACCTACTCTAAAAGTGGTATTTTATCACAACTTTCATCCACAACTCGGAATAAGATATGAACGACTCTTTTTTAAATTTTGCCATTTCAAATTTCTGCTTTCAACCTGAACAATACAATATGGTGACTTAATCCTGAATCAGCATTAGTATCAACGTGCATTTTACAAGGTGGTCCCGGGGACTAGAGCAAACGTTTCCTTTGGTTGGCAGGGTTCGGTTTGCAAAGATGTTTTTATGCTGCAAAAAAAAAGAACTTCCAAGATATTTTGATCGTTACTCTTTTTTCCTTGTCGTCGCTCCCTCCTTCCCCGCCCAAAATCAGAGACTCGGTGTCACCACGACATTGTGCTAGCCTCTCTGCCTTCAATCACTCCATTTTATAAACCATATATGGCGCTACAACATGTTTTTGCGCAGATTCCGGAAAAAAGGTAGGCAGATTTAAAATTTGGTTGCTTCTTTTTCATCTTCAAATTCTTCGGCATTTTTATGTTACCACGCACTAAAGTTGCCCTCCAGACTCAATTAATTTAGTTCGAATGTCCTCAAGTTACTTACAAATCATAAAACTAAATAATATAACATCTTGTAGGAATTTCAAAGGTGAGGGTTAGAACTTTTAATATCGTAAAATTTCAACCTTTTTAGCTACACTAGGGCGGCCCAGTCAAATAACGCATTGGTGAAGAAATGGTTAGTATATTTAAAATGGCAAATCAATTAGTCAGGATTTCGAATATTTGTAGCTGGATTCAATTAGACTATAATAATAGCCTTATCCTCGTTTTCCTTACATTTAACAAAATCGTTAATGTGTGCATGCTGATTTGTTCCTGAAACAGTTTGTACTTCACAGAGTAAAAAGAATTTTTGTACTTTGAACCTACCGTTCGCACGCCCTAAGCATCCACGCGAGCACAGCCCAAAACCCGAGAATGAAGGCGACCAGCACCGTGCCTGGACAGATCGTCATAAAGGTCTTGAAGACAAACTGCGTTGTGAAGTTCACCTTATTCATGGCCCCAATACTCCTTGAACCGGTGTCAGTGAAGAGTTTGGATCGCAATACAACTACACGGAAAATGAGATAGAGCCGGAGAAACATGGGCAGGGAAAGGATGATGTCGATCGAAACCACCTTGTTCGAGGGGAAGATTACGTGGGGACTCCCTGAAACAGAGCTAACCCTGGGAACAGATGTGTCAGTTGTTAGTAAGTTGGGATCCAAGGTGTCGTTTTTGCAGTGGGCACAAGAGAGGAGAATGGTGCCACCAAAAAGGTAATAGGAGGAGGGCCAGGTGAAGGTGAAATTACCGGGCACGGGATGGATCGCACACACGAGGATTTCGATCACAAGTCTTGCGACTCGCGTGCGATCCCACGCGATTTGCCAGTCTTCTATGCAGTCATCGAAAGAGAGAATCTACAAGTTTTTTAAATAATCAAAGGTTAGTAGGTGTTGGCGAGGCCTGCCCGCTTTCCTGATTCGAAATTTGCAAAACCTTCTTGATTTCTACTAAGTGGAAGTTTGAGAGGCACATTACACTGTTTATCAAAAGGTGTTGGAGATGGTTTGGGATTGACACCCATTCCAAAACAGAAGATTCCCCATAAGGTCTAATTGCATAGCCACCCAATCCACTTCATAATGAATCACCAACGGCTACCAAAGTGGCTACAAAGCAGCACCTATTCTACTAAAATAATAGGTCATCGTTACAAAGTGCTTTAATTTCAATTTAAGGTAACAAAACGTTTCCAATGAACAAGGTAAGTATTGAAGGCTTCTTTTGCCAGAAGAGTTCTCCTGTATTTGCGTTCTGAAACTGCAATTTCGGGACACGCCCATGTTACCACACCGCACGGTTTGATGTGCGGGGGGACATCACTCACCGGCCAGAAAACATGAACGCCTAATTAGCATGGTTTATTAAGGAGCAACATTACGAATTGTTTATGGGGGGACAGCAACGACAAAGGCACTAATGAGACGTCGTTCTATTTATAATGTCTAAGGAACTTAGTTTACCAAGTTGAAAGCATCTTCTGGTCTGCCACACCCAAGGTTGAAATGTTGTGTGTACTGAATCCTTTGTGTACGAAAGTTACAAAAATGTATTATTAATTGCTTGACATCTGTTCAACGCTTTTCAAGTCTACTCATGGCAAATCAAACTGCAGCTACTACTAGCTCCCTCAATAATAAGCTTTAGCATATTAATTTCGAAGTGGGAATACTGTGTATTTGTCACCACTGTACATTCTTCTATAAACGCCAAGTTTGGGTCGTGAAGTTGAGTCAGTAAACGAATGCAATGAATGTGAAATTCACTTCCAATCTCTAACGAAATACTGTTCAAAACCTTGGTCAGAAATGAAAAATTTCACCATTATTTAGATGACTTGCAATTACCTCACGTATTCGTCCGAGATTTTTAGGGATGCTCATTTTTATGAGTAGAGCTGAGCTAAAATGCCGAACAGCAGTACAGCACAGTCGCACGCTCTTATCGAAACTCCTAATTCAACTGTGACTAACGGTCCAACCTCGAAAATCAAGTGACAGTTTTTTATAGAATTATGGCGATTTTATGGAGCAGCACATCCTGCCGGGAAACTCCCATGACAGCTCTAAATCTTTGGTAGTTTTATCGGGCATGTTAATGCGCTTAAATTGCATTTTAAATTGCCATACAATGCAGTTTCTGAAACTCAACATTAGTCTTTATAATGTAGCTTATGAAACATAGAATACAAAGGAATAGAACGACTCATCTATCATTATTCTCGTTTTTCTTTTCGGTTTCCGTGGCTGCGCTTGTCATGATGCAAATGTCCCTTTTCCATGAATAATTGCTACTACTAAATGAACCAACATCTAGTAATGATGGTAAGTAGCATTTTAGTTGATTTTTAAGCGACTAAATTTTTGCGGCAAGATTTTAACCTGGGATTGTATGGGAATTTGAATTAACACCACTTAAAACTAATATGTATTCCCATGCACTACTCAATTGGTTTTCACAGACCCAAGTAAGATATACACTGCGCACAGTAGGGAGAGTCCCAAAAAAACCCAGTGGGATCAACCAGAATATGCCCTGAAACAACTAGGAAAATCATTATTTGTACCTGAAATCATACTAATATATCGTAACTAAAAAACTATGAAGTCTTTAAATTACTCACGTCGACGTCCTGTCGACTTTTTATATTGAATTCATGAAAGGAGGTAGCAGCAACTGTTTCAAGTCCTAAAAATTGGCATTATTTTAGTTGCGGTGACTTGTACTATAGTAAGGCAATCAGAGAATTCTTAAGCTCTCTCGACAAGTGAAGTTTGAATTTTATCGATTGTCTTCAAGATTCCACTTTGGGAGTCTGCGTCGTTTTGAATTAGACTCCTCACGGTGCATTGATTATACTATTAGAAATAGTAAATGACTGCAATTTATACTAAGGGTCTTGAGTATCAAACAGTGAGTTCGAAGCGTTGTCATACGAAAACGAAGACATAAGCTTACTAAACTTCCTTATCTTGTCTAAATTGACCACAAACTACCCTGTTGTGGTTTATCTTTTGCCACTCTTACTGGAACACAAACGCTTGAGTTACTTCTGGGTTAAAATTTGAGGCATGAGGCATTCTTACCCTGACAAGAATTGTGTGGTATAGGATAATAAATCCAATCAGAGCGAGGGTTGAGCACGTAATTAAGGACTTCAGAATTAATGACCAAATCGAGTCCTAAAAATAAAAAAATGATTTATGAGTAAACAAAATTGTTGCATTAGCAGGTTTTTTTGGAGCACTATGCACATTACCACAGTAAAGTGTGTATCTTATCTTTTTTGAGTGACTGGAATTTTTTTTTAAGATCTTAGGACTCCCACCCACTAAAATATTTTGATGTAGTCTCGTGGACCTTATCCGCTTATTGGTTCCTATGTTTAAACTAATGTTAGGCTTAATTGATAAAAAAAATTCTTATTAAAAAACATTGGCAATATTTTAACTACCTAGTCTACCCCAGAGGTTAACGCTTTTGTTTGGGATTCCGCGCTGATTTTTGTGTTAGTGGTCATTAGTGTGAGTGACAGACTGTGTAAGTTCATTTAGAGTGACAGCTGTCACGGTAAAACCATGTTGCAAGTTATCTTAAGTCCAGGCGTTTCAATTTGGCCAGAAATACAATCGTACATTTCAAACGTGTAGCATTTTTGACTGAGTTGTAAAAAAGGGAACATGTTACCGTGGCATGACTGGACTTCTTGCTCCCCATTTATTGTTTGGAAAAATGATGTAACTGTTGACAGAAACGCCCTTTTTAACTAGATGATAACAAATATAAAACTACAATGATTAGTGTTTTGGTACTTACTAATTTGTGACAACCATGTCTGTCTTATCCTCGATAGATTCAACAGGAAGGGTTTTATTGATCCTCGAACAGCTTACTGTACAATTTTGCTATCTTCCATGATCAGCGCCTTCGAAATCAGTAACTATATGTCACTAGTTTAAATGGACTGAAAATAGGTATGATGAAGAGTTATCTTTCGTATCAAAGAAGCAGTTTATCTATTGCATCAATTTAGAAATGGCAGGAAATCTAAAGGCAATGACACGAACAAACCAAAACGCGGGTTTGTTATCTTTGGTCAAACAATTTTGCCAATACTTTATTACTAAACTTTACAAAAAAAACACCTCCCAGCAATACAATTAGGATAAATATCGTGCGTTTGTTTAGAATGGTTGTTTGTGCAGCCACTCTTGTTTCACTGCATAGCGTTAAAAATTTAGGATTTTAAACACGGAGGTAAAAGAGATCTGTGCCTTCTTTAAGTCAGTGGCTTTTTCATCTTTGTTAACACAACCTCAGGTGGTTAAGAAGCTTTCTATTGTGAGTCTCATTTGTACAAAACTTTATCTTTTAAATGCATGGCGATGCTTTCTTTCTCGCAACGTGAACAGTTGACGCAGTGGCCTAAGAGGCGAGTCAAGTATCCTTCTCATAATCTTGCGATGATTTTTTTGCATTTGGTTTGAATCATAGAAAAAATGAATCCTGTATTCAGCAAAACAAGCATCAGGCGTTCAAATCACTGGTCCATCAGAGTTTTTGAGTCGTGCTGGAACGTAGTAGTCTTGAATGGTGGACTACGGTCGAGATGAAAGTAGAAATGGACGGGGGCAAATTGGCACTTGGGAATGCACCATTTAGTGAGCAGTCTAAAAACATTACGCTCGACTGCATACAAATGCAAAAAATGCAAAAAGTCAATCAGCTAGTACATTGACTCATTGCCAACAATTGAGCGTTAAATCAAGTCCTTTTTACAAGCAGACCTTAAAATAGATTCCGGTAATTTTGATTTTTGAGAATAAAAATATGATTTTATTAAAGATATGAAGTAAAAGGAGTGATCTTAAATTACAGACGCCAAATTCCGAACTAGTCAAGAACAATGACAAGAAAATAACTGTTTACATTTCTGAGGAAGACTCAAATGCAAATAGCAAAGAATCGCAAACATAAACTCATTATTTCACTACACGTGGGTCCAGAGGTCCAACACAAAACTCCAGAATCATAAACAAACCTTTCAAAAACTTGGGAAGAATTAAACAATACACATATTTTGAGGAGTCGGTAACACAAATTTGCAACTAACAACTATTTTTGACTCCTGTACTACACCAGTCAAACTAAGCGCCATTTCAAGATTATTTGCTATTCAAACTAGAAGAACGGAGATTTCTTAAGCAGAAAAATGCTACAAACCCTCCTAAACTCCTACACAAAAACTCATTGGAGTGTCATTGACATATTTTGGGGTTGGAAGGGGTTAATGGATACGATAAGTTTTAGCACAATTAGTTCAATTCATTTCTAATTTTCCTTAAATTAGTAAAATTAGTGCATTTACCCTAAGTGATCCATAATCCAGTGTATCCTGCTTGGAAAAAAAACATCAATTGATACAATATTTGAAGATCTATCCACCGTTAATGTTGTTGAATGTTGGATCTTAAACGAATGTTTTCTTAAGGGGAACTTATTTGTTGATCACCATTTGTGCTTCTAAACCAATTAGTGCAGACATGTTTTCGATTTCCGTAATTCGGTTTTCAGCACTTGCTGATATGAAATTGCATTTTTTATTGAGTGTTTTTAGTACGCTAACATTTTACCCCTTCAATTTGAAACTCCGGAGTAATTATACGATTCCATATTCTTTGGTTTTTGGACGAACGCAAAACTGGGGGTTTGACCCTCCTAATTCAAGAAAAATATTCTTAACAAACCGGACTGTTAATTAATAGAAAATGGCAAAATAAATCTAAATGAATATCTTAAATTCTCTTATTATTGCTGGTTGACCAATACTAACATAAGACGTAGGGACAAAAACAACTCCTAAATTAGCGCGAACCGCAACATCGTAGTGTGTGAACCAAGACAAAGCCTCCGAAGCAAGTGGGGTTTGGAACCGCTGAGTTGTAGCCACATGCGGTCAAATGGGTTCCACGTCGTGGTCGGCACATCAGAAAATACACATCTAGCAGAATTTTCAGTGTGTTATTTGAAGTGGAATCTGAAAGCCCTAGCGTTAGAGCTGTTCATTCATGAATAATTGGAAAAAGCTTAAACCGGTCTTAAAAAAACATTTAATGCAAAGCGGGATTAGACAAATTGGCACAAAGCAAATTCCTTATTCAGGTTTAAGGAATGCCTTCACCCAGTAAGTTTAGCCTTTTCTAAATCATTTGCAGCTCTTAATGACACCTGGCCTCTTTTTGAGATAGAACAACTAAAAATAACGATCTACACTTTTATGGGACTTCAAAAAGCTGGAATTTGATGAGTTTTAGCATGTTTATCTTTGAACAGGTCGAAAATGAATTTTGGTCACAGGATTTTTCAGTATTTTGTTATTTCTGCTTACTGTCAAGCCTTAAGCCCTGACGCTTGCTGACAGCCAAACATTATGTTACTTTCAAACTAATAGAATGTATTTTTAGTCGAATAAATTTTTTTAAACTTTTTGAAGTAGTAAAATAGTTGTATGATTTCAAAAAAAAAGTTACCACAAGTGTGCCTTCGTAAGTCGTTAGTCTAAATTACGAAGGAGCAGAAATAAACATTTTCTAGGGCATAAAATCTACACGAAATAAAGTAAAAAAACTTTTAGAAATGATGAAGTATCTCTTAATTGTTAGGTATCTTTCCTATGAAAAAACAGTTGGCTAACTTACAGCCGCGTGTTGTCTCTTAAAAGTGTCAAGTAACTATAGTGTCAATGTTACCAGGCCGGTAGTTTTATCCTAATGCCATGATCATCACACGATTTTCAAAGTCTGCGACGATGGAAGGAAACGGCATCACCAAGCCTATTTTGGCCTCGCAAGTTAAGTTAATTTGTTTGTAGTGGTCACCAGGGTCGTTCAAACTCAAAAAAAGAAAGAAAGTTTGTACGATGGTCATTTGTTTCTGTACACCCAATCTTCTTTAAATGTATTAGTCGCATCACCACCTTTAATATGAATAAGTCCACTTTACTTTTCTTTTTTTTCAAAAACGTTTTACAATCCCAAAATTTACGCGGGAGTTATGCACTCTTTCATTATGACTGACTAATTCTTTTTCCAAAACGCAAGTTCTCTTGATGCGCCTTAAGTAATTTTGCGTGAAGTTGTGATGTGTGTATAATGTGAGTTAATGGAAATTGCTTTAACAGAATCGGGATCTCAGTTTGAAACCACAAACTGGTACTTTAAGGGTATCAAAATTTGACTACTGGGCTCACCTTGGTGACTACCTGTGCCGACGTGAGTTCGTTTTCAATTATCATGAGCAGTATTCCCGTTATGGCAAAAACAAGGGAACAGTCGGAAGCTCTACTTCGCTGTTCAAACATCCTCTTTCGCCGGCCAAGACGGTAGCCAACATTGTGGAATGCAGAACTGGTTCGATGACGCTCCATTGCTTGAATACTATTAACAAATTTTGTTTCATATGTGACGCACACAAAACGATTAACAGTCAAATCCGTATAAAGATGAGCATTGCAAATAAAAGCTTCAATTTCGATGTCATTTGAAAATGACATAGAGAACATTTACCATATTTTAATGTTTAAATGGACCAGATGTTTTCATTTTAAATTTATCCTTCGTTATGTGCATTCCAAAGCATTAGGCTGCTCTTTTTTTCAACCAAAATATTAACCTAGAAGTGGTTTCATTTTACTGAGGCTGTAAAACCACAAGCACACAAGATGGCACCACGTATAACTAGCTAAAAATAAAGCGATTCTATTGCACGTGAAGATTAATAAATAGGTTGAGAGCTTTGTGGGTATGAAATATTAACGATAAATCCACTACTCTGTCGTCATTTGTCAGCATATTATTAATTAGCGCACGCTGCTACTCAAAGTTTAAACATTATACTCAACTGGTTTCCGGACTTATTTTGAAAATTTGGTCAACCTTGATGCTCAATTAAGCAAAGCAACACATTTATTGTGTTCCAGTCAAGGCCAATGAAGGTGCCCTTCTACCTATCGGGTGTGTGTTTTCCACATAATTGCCGCACCCGTCAAAAGGCCAGACGACACACGGAGTGGTGGCTCCCGAAATCCAGATGCCTCCACTAATTTGATTTGCCAGGGTGGTGCTTATTGCTGCTAATTATGTCCTGATTCCTTCTTAAGAACGCTTCTCTCGCGTAGCAGGAATAAGCACAGAATAGTTGAAGAAGTTTCGCGGTGTTTGTTCATTTTTGCTTGGCTTTTGGAGTGGAAAGAAGTTTTGGCAAAGCAAACTCAATAATCATTAGGCAATATTTCGACACATCTACTCAGTTACTCATTAGACTGCAGCATTTTCGTACAGAGTGTAGATGCTTTTTGCAACTCACATATTGTACGTCTGGGTAAAATAAGAACAATGGTTCCTTTTTTCGTAGACAGTGAGCTTGTTTATAACAATAAAATCTGCTTTTGGTGCATAAGTTAATGCAGAGGAAACTCTAAAAGATGGAACACCTAAAAGATTTTGCCAGTAAATAGAAATATTAAGAGTAAAAGCCAGTGATACTCACCGACGCTGTCGCAGAGTGAACATTGGTTCTAAACATGGAGGCTCGTCGTCACTGGAGGTATTTTCTGAAGTTTGCCTAGATGTCTGAGATTTTAGAATTGACGTCGGTGCGGCCTCAGATGACTTTGTTGGCTGTTTAAACTTGTTTATATCAATGGAGGAGGCCATGGAGTTCAAAAGTGGTGATCTGCTTGTCATCTTCCACGATAGCTGGCCTTTGTTTGTACAGGCACAGGAAGTTTTGTGGATACACCTCCTGTTGAGATGGGCTTCGCGACTATTGCACAGTGATGCATTATTTAATCTACTTTCGCCTCGCCAATAGTGTTTTTCAATGTCGCCATCATGTGTGGGGGAAAGCTGAACTGATTTCCACTGATTCCTATTTGAGAAGGTTTTTTGTCTTCGTGCACGCAGACGGGCCGCATTTATCGCCGACATATTGTTAGCTGTGTGATTGACAAGAATGGTTTTAACTGGGTTCCTTGCGCCCCGTGTTAAGTAGACTGTTACTTGAGCTGTTCGGTCCTCCGCTGTTGCATTGGTGTCTTTGCTATCGCTCTCAGATTGAGATTCAACCATGGTGAGCGACCTTTCGCGCACGATGCCACGACCAGCGCCAGTTTTGGGACTTTCTAAGGACTGTGTTCTCCAGCTATTGCGAAACTTTTGAGCCTTTTGGCAATAATAAGGACGCTTTGGTCGAGTCACATCGGATGAGTTTGTTATCGTGCCTTCTTCATCTTCCTCAGCGACTTCTTGCTCGACGGAGTCCTTCGGTGTTGAGCAGACGGGAACGCAGTCGTCAGAGTCAACCACGCTTGAAGGTTTGCAGTTCTTGACACCGCCAAGTGTCTCTGGATTTGGGGTGTTTTTCTGGGTTGGGCGGTTTATGAGAGAGGACTGCTTAGTTGTTTGTGGAGGAGGGGGAGTGTCGTCAGTTCTAATTGACGCACAGCGCGTGAGTTCATCGTCCTGGGACTGGTGTTGCATGTTGCAGCTACTGTCAAAGCTGCTGGCCCATGGGGCGGGATGTAAGGTGGTCGGTGCTTCCTGAGAGGAGTGTGCCTTGTTGGGTTTCTTGTGCATTCTGGAGATGAGCCGTGGACGAGTGCTTGCTGCGAGGACAGCAACGGCTCCGCGATTGTCAAGCTTTGCTGCTACAGACGGTGAAAGCACAGAGCACATTTCCTGTTTTTCGCGATCAAGTTTCATTCCTTTGACGCTACGCAATTGAGAGAATCCTGTAAAATGACAAACGTGAGTCATTCTGAGTCTCACACTTAAATAAAATTTGGCAAATCTCAAATATACACCATGTAAACTCGGGTAATCACACATTATATAAACTGAGGCAATTGAAGAACAGACAATTAGTTATTTGCCTTTCGCTCAACACGCTGCCAAATTACATTTCTCTGGGGAATAGGTTGAGGCGGGGAAGTTACTTTGATTTAGTTCATGATCACAGACGTTTCTAAATTGTATCCTGTTCTTGTTTAACTCATCTAAATGTCCAGGAGAACATTAGGCCTAAGCAGACACGAGAAGCTGTGAATACCACCTAAGGTGACAAATTTAGTTGGAAAAGCGTGGCATTCATTATGATCGACAATCCACCTTGTCGCATATTTTGTTCTCTACTGCTTAAGCGCCTGTACAATAATTTGACTACTTAAAAAAGAGGTAAACTGTGGACACCAATTTTATATATAAATACCGGATTCAAATTTTGTGGAATTTCTTACCTCGCAACGGAAAAAGCACGGAAACTTACGGTGACTCTTTATGTCCGATTTAGGCAGGCTGATATCAACCACAGTGTACTAATAAATGGTGTCACCTTTTGGGTTTTATTAAGCTTTTAGAAATTTGCAATTAGCATAGGTGAAATCATCTTGGCTTCATTTTATACACAATAGTTGACATTGCGCTATTACGTAGATATATTATTGCCAAACAGCATTCTTCGTGAGTTTTTTCAAGCTGTCTCACTAACTGATTCGTAAGTAAAGAAAGGATATCTAATGACTCTGACTTTTGACCGACTTAATTCAAATCACTCTTTTCAAAAAAGAATTTCAGTAATTTAACCATAATCAATTTCGTTCTAATTGTAAATCTTTACAAAATCAGCATGATCCTTTTGATTTTTCCTTTATGCAGTGGAAACTAAGGAAATTTGGTATTTACATCCTATGTAACGTGGTAACGACGATGAATTTGAACAGATTCATTGTTTTAAGCTCAAAGTATCGAGTTGATTCAACTAGCTACCTAATAAAATAGCTTTTAATGCAATTCAAAATCTTCCTTTTCATTCACGCCTCCCACTGAAAATAAGAATACAACTACGCTTTACGTCTGTCGAAATGTAAGTCTTGATTTACAAATTACTCTAGCTTTATTCGAAAACTACATTTCTGAAGCATAAAAATAGCAACTTCTTGATACTGAGAAAGTCTTCGCCTTGACACCTTTATTTCCCTGTGTGTTTGGGATCACACCAGCCTTTTGTCCTGTTAGACATGCCTCACAAGCCATATTAATTAAATGCCATGAATACGGGATCCAAGCTCTTTGATCACGAAATTGCTGTTGTCTTATTATGACTTCGCAAGGCGTTTTATTATACGTACACACGAAAACTGATAATGATAAGTTTACACGCATAGATGGTTATTTATGCTGATGCGTCCGAATGAGAAAACCGTTTAAACACTTAAAAAGACAATCTTTGGAAGAGTTGTACACTGTTTTTATCTTTGACATCAGAAAATTTTAAGTCACTGCTTGTGACTTTTAGCACACCTTATGCATCAATGAGTAGTGTTTTGCCGAAAAATTTTATTAAGGCATCCTCTCGCTTCAAGGGTAATTACAAAAAAATTGTTTTCTGTTTCATATTTGCCTCATGCACAGTGTTCGTCTTTCTTCGTAAATGAGCACTGGGATGCTAATGCAGGATTGTGGTTTTGCATCGGGCACTTTGTCGGTAATTTTGTCCCTGAAAGGTTGATTCATCAAGCCTTTCAGAAGTCCCAGGCAAAAGCTCTCACAGGCTACCGTACCCTGCCTGGTTGCTTATTGTAATACTTTTGTCTTATT